GGAGCTCTTTACGTTTCTGCCACAAACTCCATAAAAATTTCTTGCACATCTTATCCCCGTCCTCTAGGGCCTCTTGTGCCCACCATCTATCCCCAATTATCGCGATCGTTTTTTCGCTGTTGTCTAATTTACCAAACTTGTCCATGTCACACCCTCTCTGTCTCATTTCCTCCTCGAGATCCTCTCTTTCCTTCCTGTACAACTCACACTCCCCAACTATGTGGGGTCTACTCTCCTCCGATTTGCCACATGGACATGTGTGTCTATCCTCCTCTTCCTCTCTCCTACGGCTGGTATACCTCTTCCTCCGTTCTGGCAAGTCCAGATCGCCTACTCGAAATTGCAATTTCAGCTTTTTCGCATAGTCCATGGGGCCGTCCAAGTACTTCTTCATCCCTATCCCTTCTTTCAACTTCCCGTATATCTCCAAGTGGTCTTCGCTTCGTACCTTCTTCCGAAGGGTTGCCTCCTCCCTACTCTCTAGCATCTCCTTGACTTTCGTCTTGAACCCCCCGAACCCTTCCGTGTCCAACGTCTCCTCTTCGTCTCCTATCTCCTTCCAAACCTTCTCTACCACCTTGTCCCATCTGATTCCCTTCTTCCCTGGAGTCGCTTTTCCCCAAGCTGCCTCGTCAACCATGGCTGGTAGTCTATCGTCCGACATTCTACTTACCTTGTACTGCCAATTCAACTTCTGCATGTCTCTCTTTGTTTTAAGAGAGTACATTCCCAATTCTGCTCTCAATACAGTGTTGCTCGTTGTACTTGAACATCCTAGTATTTTCTTGGCCGCTGCCATCTGCACCGTTTCCAGCTGCTTGACGGCCTTTTCGTTACCTTCCCATATCTCTCCTGCATACTCTAGCTTAGGTACAATCACATTCAAGAGAATACACCTCTTAATCCTAGTGTCTAGGTGTGGGTCCGTAAGGATCTCGTCCATCTTGCCTATCTGAGCTTTACTCTTCCCAATCAACTTCGCTATGTGTGCGTCCCATGAGCACTCCTTCGAAATCTCTACTCCCAGGTACGTATACTTGTCTACTAACCGGTAGTTCTTCCTCCCCCCATTTCCATTTGAATTCTACGGGATTTTTCTTATCTTCGTTACAGACCACTACTGCGCATTTTCCTACGTTCGCCGACAGTCTCCATTTTCGGGTGTATCCTACCGCCGCATCTATTTGTTCTTGCAACCCTTCTGGTGTTTCGGATACCCCCACGAAATCATCTGCAAACATCAGTCCGGACACACTCTTTCCCTCTACTTGGACTCCCTGTCTTACTGCTTCAACCGCCCTTATCAAATCGTTGATGTAAATCTTAAAGAGAGTGGGTGACATCGTACAGCCCTGTGCGACTCCTTGGAGTATATCCACGTACTTCGAAATTTCCCCATCCAATATCACCGCACTTCTTGTGCATTCTGTCATCTTTTTCAACATCCTCCACATTTTCCCCCGGATGCCGATGTCCCACATCTTTTTCCACAATCCATTGCGCCATACGGTGTCGTAGGCTTTTTGTATATCGAGGAAGAAACAGTATGTCGTACGCCCGGCGTCTTTCCTACCTTGGATGATTTTACTCAACGTATATACATGGTCTACACAACTACGATCTGGTCTAAATCCAGCTTGTCCTTCGCTGATCTTTTGTTTCCCCTCCAACATGTCTCCCATTCTATTGTCTATCATCTTGCCAAACAGTTTCCCCACTGTGCTCAACAGGGTTATCCCTCTATAATTCCCCGGGTCAGCTTTATCCCCCTTTTTGAACAGGTTCACGACTACTCCTTCTCTCCATCCCCTGGGGGGGGGGGGGGCAATGGAGGACTACATGTTTGGAGGGGGGCACCTTGTTTTCAAAAGGGCAAAAAAAAAAGGTTGACTCAAGATCTTGGTATTTTTACGAGTGCGCCGGGCATGCTAGCCCATGCACAGCAGAAGGGGGATCGCCCCTCTACCAACACATACACGCCGCCAATGATACACGAAACCCGCTATGTCTCCGTAGATCAGTGTCGAGTGCTGAGTGCCCCCAACCACTAAATTTGGGATTTAGATTTGGTCGAACACCCTGCCGGAAGTCGGCTGTTGCGTTGTAGACTATTTTTTGTGCTCTCGGAAACAACGCAGTTCTGTGTACGTGTCGCCTACTATTTATACTCCTCCTCCTTCGCCGTAGGTGGGGCTCGCGCATGGCTCTACTGTATATATGCTTAGGTAGATACAGTATACTGCAGTACCTTCACATACATGCGTATCCGGCGCGAGACCAAGGGATCGGATCGTCGGACTACGTAGTACATAATACCTTGTACAAATAAATATTTCGAAGCAGATGGATGGGTGGGTGTGTCTGGGGCTGTGTGTCTGATGGCGCTGGCACTTTCACTGCCTTCAACCAACCCTGCAAGACGTGTACAATAAATTAAGGCGGCTTCTCCGCGGGCACTGACTCCACCCCTGCAAGACGTGTGTGTGTGCAATAATAAGGCGGCCTCTCCGCGGGCGGCGACCCGGAGTCCGACGCTTGCTTACACATCGCGCTCCGCGGTTGTCACCCCTCTCCGTCAAATAAATGCAGTTTTTACCGCCACGCCGGTGCAACCGCTGTAGTACATGTTAACAGCCCCACTTGTATGTTTTTTCGATCAACCATATTCGTGTCTTTTGTGGTCGGACGCATCTGGCGATGCGATGGGAGGGTATTTCTTGCATGCCGAATTCCGTTCTGGCGTGTGGTGGCGTTTTGATTTTAGTCAAGAAGTACGGGAGAGGTTTCGCCAGCAGGCCGAGGGGCGCGACGATCTGAGCATCAACATGCTCGAACTCCTCGCGATGGTAGTTGGCGCCTGGGTGTTCACTGTACAATCGGACATGAGGCCAGAGTACGCCCGCAATAATAGCATCCGTATGATGGGAGACAACTCTTCGAGTGTGGCGTGGGTGAACAAGTGTCGGGGGGGGAGCGAGCCCCGATCTGGGGCACTCATGCGTATGCTAGGATGTTTGGAGATGGGCAGCGGATGGTGTTTTGAGGCGGCTCATGTTCGAGGGGTCGATAACACGATTGCAGATGGTATTTCACGATGGGAGCCGGCGACCATTGACGCTCGTCTTCGCCTGTCCCGTCCCAATGTCGCCTGGCACCAACAGGTCTTGAGCCAGGAGGTCGCCGATCTTTGTACCGGCGTCTTAGCGGCGAGTATGTCCGCGAGTCAGTTGCGCAGTCGTCTCGACGAACTTACCTGTCGGGTTGGCGGGCTTGGTGTGCTTTTCGCCGCATGATTGGCGAGTCGGAGTACCTCTCGGGGGATGTGGACAGTGCTGGGCTGGAACAAGCACTTTTGGAGTTTGTGGCGTGGTGTTGGGCAGATAAGGGTAACATTGCACCGACCATATCCGGCAAGCTCGCCGCGGTACAGTACTTTCATCGAGTTGACAAGCAGCTTGAGTTGCCTACCGGTGCGCCTCTTATCAAACGGAGTTTGTTGGGTGTCGCACGTGTTCACGTTCGAGCGGGTACGAAGAGTCGGAGTCGTGTTCCCGTCTCGTGGGAGACGCTGTTGGAAGGACAGCAGTTGACGGCGTCGTGGGGTACAGGTGGCCGCGTGTTGTGGCTGTGTTTGGCGTTGTCGTACTTCTGGTGGCGCGTTCAGATGAGGTTTTTGCCACACTGTCGGGACAATGCCACCAGGTGCATTGTTTGCGGCGTAGCGACGTCGCATTCTTTGATGGGGAGTACGTGCTAGCCCCGTTGCACTGGCACAAGGCCACAGGAGTTCGGGTTCGGTTTCGCGGCCACAAGGGGGATCAGTCGGAGACGGGGGCGTGCGTTACACGGGTGCGCGATGTAGCACGAGGCGCGAGTTCTCAGATTGGAGCCGGTGGCGGTGCCGTGGCGGTGTTGGTGGAATTGATGGCGTGCCATCTCGCTTTACCTGAGGACGCCCCTCTGTGCTTGTTTCGCTGTAGGAGGAGCAATACGGTTAAGGTTTGGGGTTATTCCAAAGCTCTTAGCGCCCTTCGCCAGATTGTGGAGAAGGCAGGTGGCGACCCGAGACAGGTCGGCTTGCATTCGATGAGAATTGGGGCCGCCACCACG